TCACTTCAATAGTGATATTCTAGCCCATTTTCATTATGCGGATATTTTTAAGCAGATATTTTTATCCAAAGCGAATCACAAGTGAGTGGTAAGTTTAAAAGTCATTCTTGACAATCTTTACCCCTGTATAGACAGTGATAAAAATACTTCTCTACTGTATATAAGAAGCGTGTCTGACATTTAGCCTAAGAAGGTATATATTGAGCGTTTTCTTGACAACCAGAAGAACTTTTACTGTTCTGAGGGTGAGGGAATGCTTGTCCCACCACAACAGAACTTTAGCCCCAAAATTCAACTTAACTCAATTCAAATTTTATATAGAGCCTTTCACAATAGTGTCGCCCCAGGGCACTTTACATGGGAGTGCAGGGTTCTTCAACTCTGGACCTTGATTCCAAATCCAGGCCGTGTTTTCAGTTCTCCCAGGTAGTTGTTTAATAATTACTGATTCTGATTGGTCAGAGGCTTCACACCTGACTGACAGGTAAAGGAAGGCTGGAAAACCAGCAGTGCTCGGACCTCGAGGACCGTGAGTTGAATAACCCTGTGATACAGCATCATTAAGAGAGAACAATACAAAAACAACGTAAAGGAGATGAGATAAATAAAGCCAGATGACAATGGAGGAAAAGAACGAAAAAGCTCCCAAGTAGGAAGAAAAGAAAAACTCTGGGCCCAAGGTCAACTGGCTGCCCGACTCCTCCCCCCCCGGGCATAACATTATAAAAATTAGACAACAGTCCTGCATCCCAATTTTGGGAACGGAAGGAGTCTTACTGGAGTATTGTGCCTCGGAAGCAAAATACTTCTGATTGTTTGGCAGGCGTATCATTCATCAAAACGGCAAAAAAACCTTAGCGTGATTCCCAAGTTGGTGACCAAAGGATGGTTCAATAGGTTTGTTCTAACACATGCAAGTTTTGGGAGGTCAAACATAACAGAGTCATGACTTATGCCAGAAACCTAGCTACAAAGCAGGAAAAACATGACGACCTGGACCGGCAGCAGAGCTAACGGTGGGCGCTAAGGCTAATACTCCGGATGATGCAGAGACGACACCTGCGACAGATGAAGCTCCTGCCCAATATCACGGACGTTGGTGGTGCTTTCTAATGACACCACAATTAAGTTGTTAAGGGGATTGTGGCAGAGTGGCACTGGCCAGGTGGTGGAGTGTCTCCATTTTCCGTAATTGAGTCACAGATTACAGGCCGCTCTCCATGCAGAGATACTGGCAAGATGCAATTTAATTCAGTAGGAAACCGGAGTTTTGGAGGGGTATAGCTGCACGTCATTATCGTAATAGTGGCATAAAACGTCATGAAAGGAGACAATGGAGCCAGTGTGTGTCTATAATCTGCTTAGACTCATTGGTACTAAGGTTCTCTCTTATCCTATTAAAATCTTGCTATCTGAAATGGAAGCCATTTTTACCAGCTGGGGCTGATCTAAACTGCCAAAAAACTAAATGTGTGACCATATTTTTGGTCGCTGGCGCCCAGTGGTTCCTCTCTGTTTACTCTGCAGATTCAGACTGGATTGCTGCAGAGAATCGAGTCCAAAGACAGGAACGAACACTGAGAAAACATTTATTCACAGCCTGTTTTATCTCCATTGCTTTCTTTTCCAAATTAAGAGTAAGCCACGATAATTAAAAAAAAATATATAAAAAAAATGTTGATCAGCAGTCGGTACTAAAATATTCAGTGATTCAATTTCATTCAAATTTAAAATTAACGTGTAATTATTTCCTTAAAATGATCCCCATTTCCAATTCTAAGTACATTCATTTATGGCTTTTTAGAAAATTAAGATTTATGTAACGCTCAAAAAAAAACATTTTCCCAAACAGATCTGTGCCGATAATACAATTAATCCCAGTATCACAATTCTATTTTTCTTGATTTTGCATTGACACTTTGAGGACTTGTACTGGTATTTATTTATATGCCTATTCATACCCATCGCTACAGTTCAGCTGGTATGAATGCAGTACCTGCTTAATGCTTATAAATAGAGGCAGCAATGAAAGGCCAGTACATCTCACACGGCTCCTTTTATAGCGGATCGAGTCTGTTACCATGCATGCTGGCACTCCGCTTGCTGCGCGTTTGCCAAAGAGGAGATGCGACCACCCCCTGCATCATTCAGATCGGACATGAGGACACACTCTGGCTTTATTAAGAAGCCAGAGTCTCCTGAGATATGAGACATGGTTTGTACGCTGTGCTTCGCCGGAATAAAATATTCCGGAAACACAACAAACCTTCGCGCACATCAGTGCAGGCATCGCCCTGAGGCATTCTCACAGGCCACAAAAAGCACTGACCCATCGCAGGCAAGACTCAATGCAGAGCTCGCCACAAAATTAAACCATAACACAAAAGAGTGCTGCTGTTTGGCTCAGGTCATGGGGTCTGTGACCAGAAGGTTGCTGGTTCAAATCCTAAGACTGGCAGAAAGATTTTGCCATAGGGCCCTAGAGCAAGGCGTTTAACTGCTAACAGCTTGAACCGGCTTGCTCAAGAAAGATATTGCTTTTGATAAAAAAGGGGGGGGGGGGACATGTAGCAGAAATCAGTGGAGCAATTCATTTTATGTGAAAAGATGTGCGACCTTAGTTTTGTGGAGAACAATGATTTCAGAAGCATTTTAATCACATTGGAACCCTGGTATGACATTCTTTCCCAGCGCATTATCACATACTGTATATGGCTGTTCCAAAATTGCACAGATCTTCCTTCTAAATCAGGGACCTCCAGAGTGACAAATTCCACATCAGAATAACCTCTCACTTCATTTCAGAAGAGCAGAAATTGGTTACATTAACATATTTAGCAGACACATTTAACTAAAGTGACATAATTGAGAAAGAAGACTCAACCTGCTCCTAGAGCAATTTAGAGATAAGGGTCATGCTCAAGGACCCAATGCTGAAACCACTCTACCCATAATAAGACTTGAACCGGCAACCTCCCAGTCAACAGGTAGGACGCCCTACGCTGCTGAGCCATACCTAGCAAAGTGCAAATAAGAGTCACATGTGTGAGTCACACTGGCACTGGCCCTGTCAATTTTCAGAAGAGCGTACTTGAAGGACGGAACATTGCAGGAGGAGAAGATGTACTTCCTACAGAAACTGTCCAGTGTACAATTACATAAACCGGACATGTTAGTCAGTTAAGGCTTTGCCTATAAATAATTTTGTCAATTTTTGTCATTGGAGCATTTGCTCCTTGTCAATTTTGGGATGAACCATCTATGCTGAGGTGGAAGCAAAAAATAGTCCAATCATCCATCATCTAGCTGTTCACCCTGGTCAGGGCTGCAGGAAAGACCTGGACCCTATCCCAGGCAGCCGAGGCCACGACGCCGGAGTGCACATAGGACTTCATGCAATTCCAAAATAATCCATCCATCCATCTTCTAAACTGCCCGCATGGTCAGGGCTACAGACAGGCTTGGAGCCTCTCCCAGGCAGCGTAGGGAGCAAAGCTGTGGTACGCTTTGTACGGGATGCAATTGCAAATAATATTCAGTTTATATTTCATGCACACTTGTATTCATAGATGACATCTATTTTGTCCATTTCAGCAAACTGGATATTTCTATTTATATAAATATTTAACACATATAATTGGGCTCCAATATAAAAGTGTACATGTAAAACTATCCGTAGAGTAAATGGAGTGAAAAACTGTAATTAGCAAGGAAAACACTGCTTCTTATTTGTCTTCTTTGGGTTTTTTTTGGACTCATTACCTTCTTGCACATCCATCAAATGTCTTGTACACTCCAGTGATCTTTAGTCTGCAGCCGTCTACAAAGAGAAAATAAAATGAAATGCAGAGACACAAAGAAGTGACAACGGCACCTTTGAAGGAGGTTTTGGAGAAATGTAGCAGAGGACTCGGGCTAAATGACTGTCAACAGGCCCCTTTCCTCTGTATTTCTATATTATTTTAGCACTACAGATGCCTGGACACTTCCAACACACTCCTGAAGTTGCATCTTTTACCCAGGCAAGTGTGCCAATCAATAAGGCAGTAAGGTTACGAATTGAAGATTATAGAGAAAGATTAAACAGATTTACTAAACCAGAGAGGGCTTTATGAATCTGGGAAGAAGAAGAAAAAAAAAAAAAAAAAAAAAAAAAAAAAAAAAAAACTCACATGCGCTGGAGTAAAATAACATCAATACATTGACGATTATACAGTCGGTAATGTATAATGGATTTTATAGTGATTTGAATTAATAAACCAATCTGCGCAATTATGTTCTATAAAAAATAAAGCAAATGATGCCATAGTTACATGAGAACAACACTGCCACTGAGAAGAATATAAATTATTTTGGGGGGGATTGAGTGGTTGCAAAATTATAACGGAATGCTGTCCATAAAGCATAAAGCCTTTGCAAAGCATGTCATCAAAATAAGAAGAACAGTACCTTTATGGAGCAGGCTAATGGGTCTTTTTATGCATGATACGTCATGATAAATTCTGGTGAAATTCTGCTGGCATATATATGCATCTCACACACATGTACATTAAAATTACTAGTTATTTTATATGAAAGCATAACCTATACATGCTGCATCACAATCACATTTGTATCACAGAATGATGTAACTTTCACAAAACTAAAACCCCATTTCTCCTTGGGTAGAAATACTTATTGGTGGAGTAAAGCTGATATATGCAGTGTACTTACCGGACTTGCATTTACATTGCTTTGGACAAAAGTGTCTATTGATTAAATAAATGTACATGTTGTGTAGAGGCTATTGTGTGTATGTGTGTGTGTGTGTGTGTGTGTAATGACCCATGATTAATGGCAATGAAATCAGTGTTCCAATACCCAAACAGATTGCTTTGTTTATCCGTTACCTCAGTCGCTCCAAGTCTAGCTTGCAGTGTCCATTAGTCTATAAAGACAGTCGCCGATTATCAGGAATTCCAGGAATCGGTGCAGTTTAAATAAAGAGCCGACAAAGTTAATTGCATGTTAGGTACTATTGTTGTAATTAAGGGCAGTTGTCACAGACAATTTTTTTTAATAACATATCCTTTTTTTTACCTAAAAACATTTATACATCTTCAGAGTTCCTAAAATAAACATTTTCTCCATCCCTAATATACAAAGCCCAACCTCATACACATTTCATACCGATTTTGTTTTTACTCAACAGGATAGGAAAAACAACAAAGATATACTAAAAGAAACACAAAATTAAGACAATCTTTGGGGCCTCAAGTTAATTGTGCTTTTCCTGGGTGTAGAGATTGCTCCACTTATTAAATAGTTCATTTTAAGTACATAATCTTCTTTCAAAATCTCCACCATTGCTCTGTTTTTATCTTACAATGTCGCCGATTTCCTGAAGCCAGAATTCCAAACACCATCACTCGTTGCACAATCATATTGCTGGAAATTGCTTTCTTGTCATTGAGTTCACGTTTGCATTACACTGCGAGCTAGCATTTTGCATTTCCTCTGAAGTTACTCTTAAGGTTTCCCTTTTTTTGTTGAATCCGAATTAGTTTACAGAAGCTCCTGCTCTGGCATTTGCAGACCTACCCTTTCCCAAAGCCACAGCGAGGACTTTAATTTGCGCAACTTTTCTTTGTCATTAAAATTATGCTACAATTGTAAAAAGAACGATAAACAGTCCAGTCCGAATAAAATAAAATAAAACAAATTAAATGGCAGAAGCAGAGGTGGTCATTGGGGGGGGGGGGGGGGTCTGTCTTTCCATCCAACTGACTTAAATTGAATGTAGCTCCACTTTCGAACACCCAGTCTCCCCGCCTCTGGGCAGGTTAAGTTACATTATGTTACATAACTCAAGGCACTGGGCCCTGGATTGGCCTAATGGCAAAGATTAGCTCCCACGCGTCCATGTAGGTGGAGGGGGGGGCAGGGATGAGGGAGGACAAGTTCCACTGGAGGCATCCCGAGACGATCCCGAGAGAGTCGACTCCGGCCCCATCAGCCGCTCTGGATGTACTTCTTGATGACCACGCAGCCGTGCCGGAAGAGCGGGCATGGCATGTTCTGCAGGAGCGTCCACGAGTTGGTGCAGGGGTCGAAGGCTTCCATATTCCCCAGCGCCGGGCCCTCGCTGCTCACGATGCCTCCCGTGGTGTGTATCTTCCCGTCGAGGACGACAGCGCTACAGGAAATGGCGAACACCCAATTGTGATGTGAGGTGATGCAACACACATAAAATCACGAACATTTTAGACTCTCTGTATGGGAATTCTCCGGTGTCCATGTATCTGAAAGTTTATTTCAGTTCACATACTGACATGTGAATTTTAGAGCTAAGGAAATATCCGCTGTCAGTAGTGTGCTCTCAAAAAAGATGAATGAGTTCCTTCATATGGATTTTTTTAAGCACCAAAAATACTTTGGCTTATTGGAGACGAGAAAAAAAAATAGAGGAGATTCGCTTACAGACCATTACATAAGACCAAACAAACAAACAAGGTCCGTGTTTACAAAATCGAATCAAAACCAGTGTTGCAGCACTGTAATCTAACATTGATTTAAATCACAGCAATACATATTTTTTGAATTAGTTATTATTCCACGAGGGATCTGAGTCTGGAACGCACACCGAATTGGATGCCACATAATAAATGAAAAGATAAATAGCGCCAACTCCTCTACAAGCTTATTATGAATGGAGGGAGCACTGCCCAGGCTGGATTATCAAGGGCGGTGCATCTACCACGCATCCATAGGCTAAGCAAGCGAGGACTAATCACTGGACTGAGGGACTGGCACGTAGCCTTGGCTGGAGATAAACATGCCAAATGAAGTAGACGCGTTGAGGGGACCTTGTCGACGGTGCTGTCAGAGGGATCGACACGCAGTTGCCACGCAAAGACAAACCCTGTAGGGTGATTAGGAGGACTTCTCTCCAGTTGCCAAAACGGCACAAAAAATATAGATGGTAAATATGCGATAACAAATGCAACCCCGCGCGGTGGGGATAGCCTCCGAAACAAGATGGAACACCATAGCCTGCTGAGACTTGATCTCATTAGCGAAAACGGACACTCGCCCTGATAGGAAAGGTCCTGGTTGGTCGTATTTCTGCAGCGTTTGGATTTAACATTGTAGAGGTATAAAAGGATTGTAACAAGGTAAGGCACCTGACAAAAAGTCAGCCATTATTAGTGTCATCGTGTGGGATGTCGTATAAGGGTATGTTGTTGAGAATAATAATAGTAATAATAAAAACTGTCTTGCCCTCTCTTTAATGTGCACAGATAACCAAACTAAAGCGGCCTCTTCCATTCAGGAGCTGTTTGTACTGTATCAGCTTCTACGGAGAAGTCGTCAAGTTCTCTCCTCGTGAAGAGAAGGACTGGCAATCCTAGGGCCTGGCGCAACGTGAGCTGCTTTCAGAGCCTTCTTCAGAGTGCCGTCATCTGAACCTCAGTATGCCTCTGGCGTCGTTATTTGGTTCAGATCATAAACTCACTTGATCCAAAGCAAAAGGGAAAAAAAAATAAAAAATAAAAAATGAGGAAGCCGGTGTTCTCAAACTTCAAGTATTAACTGGGGACCGAATGGGAATTACTTTCATAAGAAATGTGCGCTTTGGGGAGTTCTTGCCATTGCAAAACAAACATCAGATATTCAAGAATAGCAGAGTTAGAATTCTTGTCAGTGCTAGAATGAAAAGATCAGCGGGATGCCTTAGGACCTGAATCTGCCAATGACAGTTAATGCAATGTGACACCTCCATCCCAGCAACAGCCTATCAGTAAGGACTTGCTAGAGAATTAAATAATTAGTTTCTCAGCTGTGCTTTTCTAGTACTGTCCTTCACAATGGGAGGTACTGGCTAATGCATAATTGAAGGAAATGCAGCTTTACTTATGAGCTCATAGACTCCTAGACTGTAGATTTATCATATAGTTTTTGTCTTGGTTTCAGAGGCTATTAGATGTAAAAAGTCTTTGTTTAAAAAAGGAAGTTGCTTAAAGTTCCTGAATAAGTGCAGAAATCAATTATGTATGTCAGATGGATTATATCGGTATCAGTCTATATAAAACTCTGGAAGAAACTCATTCTCATTGCAAAGCTGAATGTTGAATCTAACTTTCATAGCTAAAAATTAAAGAACAATATGCTATACAGTACAGGTAGCTGAAATTGTTAGATTGTGTTTTTATCGGTCTGGGACAATGTATTCCTGTTCAATATAGATCGCAGGATATTACAGTTTCCGGAATAAGATTGATCAATCTTTTAATATACCATATGCAATGCAATTATTTTTATATACAGTCATGATTATCCTATAGATAAATTATGTATCTTTTTAAAATGTATGTATGCAATGGGTTTCATTAGTTAAGTACCAGGATATTTTTGTTAAGACAGTACAGTCTACATTCCTTATTCCACACTAAAACCACATCAGGATAAAAGTCAATGAAAAAGTAAAAGGTAAATAAAATAAAATAAAATAAAAAAAACACCCAAAATGTGTGATATTTTGAAGAGCTTAAACAGGATCTTGGGCAGACTGTGGGGGGGAAGGAGGAACGTATGTTGATTCTTAGCACTTAGCACTTGTGAAATTCCACTTTAGCAAGTCATGTTTTTATAACCTCGGATCAAAGCTGAAGCAAACCAGAACACATGCCATATTTGACACTGACACCCACAGTGAGAGTGAGGGCTTGAAAACGTAGTCTGGCGCCTCCTACAGTATAATGGAGTAAAAATAACTTCCTGGGGTGCCAGAGTCATCAAATCACATGCCTGCAAACCCGGCATCTTCTGCGGCTAACAGTCATAACTGATCACTCGGAAAATAGCCCCTTACCTGCAGAACTGCCTTGAATGGTTCATACTGGGCCCTGCTTTGATGTTGCCCTTTTCTGGGTCATAGATCGTGGTTGCTCTTGCATAGGCTCCGCCCAGAATGAAGATGAAGCCGTTCAGCGTGACAGCAGGGGCAAACTTGTTATCTGTTCAAAGCAGACATGGAGAAAGAGGTTTCGGCGGAATGTCGACTTTTTCCACGGAGGACTTAGAGACGTGCTCTTTTTCTGCAGAGGAATTTGTCATTAAAGTGATTATGCCACAGTCCAAAACACATGTTACAAAGATAAGCGCAAACACAGTTCTAGGGAAAATTTTTGAATGCCAGGATATTTGCTCAGTGAACAGTAATCTTGAATGACATAAAGCTACTTGATTATTTAAACCGATAAGAACTAAGCAACTGACTGTTTAAAATATAAAGTTTTAAGATTTTTATTTTTTTTTTTTTTAAAAAGAAAAACACAGAACAAAGTGAATTTAATGCAGCTCTATGGTGTTTACTCTGGGTGTGTGTGGGTGGGGTGGGGGGGGGGGGGAAACATTTACAGATATTTGGGATTTTCAATTGGATTAGAATAGTTAAAATGTATGTGTAAGAAATAAAAATTGTCACATTGCAGACTGGCTTTAATTTTGTTTAAATAAGACATTACTGCATCTTGTGTAGGAATAATTCTTCATCTACAAAAATATTATCCCATCCCATCTACAGGGTGGGAAATGAAATTATGCAATTAAGATTTAAATAGTGTTTTGATGCAAAGTTTTATCCCTCGCCTGAGTAATCAGGTACACACAGGGGACTGGATTAAAAATAATAATAAATTACTGCCGGTGTCACAATTTATTATTATTATGTTAGTATAAAAGTGAAAATATTATTTGTATAACTGTACGCAGTTGTTTCTTGCATTTGATTATTTGTACTAGGTAAGATGTTCGGGGCATACAGGAACATTTGCTGTGTGTCTTGGGATAGACTTTAGGCTCAACATGACCCAGTACTGGATAAGTAAATGAAGGATGGATGGATGGATGGATGGATGAAAGATACCTATAGGTGATATTGCAACTGCTAATCTGTCTTGAAAAGTGTATGTCCTGGATTTAAGAATGAGTCTTGGACTTCCCTTAGTATTACAAACATCTCAGGAGCAGCTTGCAATGTTGGTCCATGGTACGCTATTGACGGACCCCGCTTTTCCTTAAAATACAATTATCTGTGCCTGACAGCACGGTTCAATCACATCAGAGCTGCACCCGAAGCTATGAACAAGGGCAAAAAAATACAAAAACACTAAAAGTCAGAAGTCACCATCGGTCATTGAGACATCTATACGTTCCTCAGGGAGAAAGAGCAGTTCAGAGCAAGAACATTAAGCACCCAAGTGATTCTTCTACATTTACACAAAAGGGGGGTGGGGGGGGAGGTCATCAATAATTTATACTTGCATGACAAAAAAAATCACTGTAGTCCTTCATAGTATCCATAAATACTGTATCTTCCTCATTTCTTTGCTTTGTCAGACACTTAAATCTACAAACCAGGGGAGATTGAAACTGAATTTGAAGTACCTTTTAACTTAATACTACTTCACATAAAATACATTGTACATAACACCACACTGTCACATATTTTTTACGCCTCTGGTTTCCGTATTTCCTGACATTTCTTGCTCTGATGACAATTTTATTTTCAGCATTTATTCTTAAAAAAGTATATCTATATAGCTAGAAGGAAATGCAAGGTGCAACCATTTCATTCCTGCAGAAACTATGAAATAAAGTTGCACTTAATTTCACACTTTGTAATAAAATTACTTTAAATATTATTATTGTTATAGTTGAACAGTTCCAAATTCCACAGTAGAGGACCTCACTGAGGACAGAGTAAGAACCTTGGTAGATTCTGGACCAGAACCCAATTTCATATCAGACAAGTGTGGCTGTGATTTTAAGACATCTAGGTCTAAGCCCAGAGACCTACTGTAATCTGTCCAAGAGTTCTCAAACTGAGAGCCTGGTTGTTAAAACATCGGAGCCACAGAAATCATTTGGGGCTCGTTCAGATTCATTTGGGGCTTCAGTCAGACAATATTACTGCATTGCTAAACTGCAGACAGCTTAGCCAAAAACTAAACAGCTAGAATTACTTTTATTTTTAAGTGAATTTTACAAAAGTCCCAGACTCATACCACTTAGTACACAAAAAAATGGCTTGATTTTTTTGCCGAATATTTGATAGACATCAGTAGCTTCCCAGCTACTGGGCCAACAGAGAAGACAAGAGCAAAAGACCGGAGATCTGCATCCTCCAAAAGAAGCCTTACAGAACTTACAGAATGGTGCAATGTGTAAACACAAGCATTCCATTTTTTATTCTCCGTAACTGCTTATGCAATACAGCAGTGTTTCCCAATCTGGTCCTCAGGAACCCACAGCCGGTCCACATTTTTGCTCCCTCCGAGCTCCAGCAAAAACGTGGTCTGTCTGTGGGTCCACAAGGACTAGATTGAGAAACACTGCAATACAGGATCACAGTGAGCCTTATCTTATCCGAAACATCACACGGCATGAGGCATGGGACACTCCGGAACAGATGCCTGCCCATCAAAGGACAGTAATGAGCTAATAAACCACATGACACAGAGCCTAGTGGCAAAAAGACTACCGTTATTGTAGGAACAAAAAAGAGAGACAAAAAAGGCATCCCAGTCTCAGTCTGTCTGCACTGTTACAGTAAATGAATAAGCAAACAAAATTTAAAACAAAAACTGATTTCATGACGATTTCAGCTACATCTAGTATAAAACAATGATGCATAACAATCTTTTGTTAATGTACTAATGGAGAGTTGTTTTATTTCAAATGATCCTCACAAGCAACAGTTAACTGTGTGTTAGTACAACAAGACAGTAGCCATCTATTAATTAAGCAAGAACTTTATCAAGTATATAAAATCATAATCAATCTGCTCCCCCACCGTTCAATTCCCTGGTTCAAATATGAAAAAATTACTATATCATTCCCAACCTGCCCCGGGAGAAGAACATGGATCTTTTGCTTGATCTAATTTCCTGCATCTGGCTTTAATCTCTGCGACTACACTTCACAAACTCCTCCGTCTCTGATCTTTGATGCATTGTACCCTTCTCTCCAGCACCCGCACTGGGACCAGTATCAGGAAGAGGCCCCTCATCTGAGGGGGCTTGTATGAAGAACAAACAGGAGGTCTCTGGGAACGTTCTCAGCATACATTTTGCGGGACGCAGCCGGACCCCCCACCCTCACTTAGATTGCGGAGCGTCAGTCTGCCGACCTGAGCAGGTGCAGCTGCAGCTGCAGGTAGGAATCAACAAAAAGACCAATAAACACTTTACTTCAACTGATCCATTTTAAAGACACCAATCATCTTGTAGTTTGCATTTGGTGTTATTTTTAGTGAATCACTATAAGTGCTGACAGTTTCCAGGAGTGGCTGAATATCTAGATATCATTCGTTTTGATAAGGAAGATGGCGGTGAATTAAAATTAAACTGTTTCTTCAAGTGACCCTGCGGTTAAATGCACAAAGGAAGAGCAGTCGGAATTTGGTGCAAATGGACATTAAAGGGGGCTTGTTTACCGCGGGTCGCCCACAAACTGTGAAACAAATTATTTGCAGGTCGTGCAGCGAAATCAGCTTTCGTCGCTCACGCCATCTCGCCGGCATGTAACGTGTGCATCGAATTGTTGTCATACTTCCCTATAAAGACCAGCATCCCCTTGATCCTGCGCTACTTTCCCCCCTAGCCTGTGATGACAGCTCGTTTATAGGAAAGCAACATATACGACTGACTATACGAACGTGGAGGAAAAGAAAGGAGGGTCACTGGGGGGAGCCGACTGAGCGCATGTGATGACAAAGGGCATGGAAAAAGGCGGACAGCAACAGGATATGAGAGAACTGAAATACGGCACAAACACGTAGAACGGAGATGACATGGATTCTTTTGCTTAGTCAAAAACACTGACCTTCTACATTTATTTCAGAGGTGTCAAAGATGTAAATACACAATTTGCTATTTTGCCATGGCGAATGGTTGGGTGTGAAAATCAATCGCACCATCCGGATTCAATTCCGTTCCAATCACTGATCTAGAAGCGTCGAGGAATCCATTCAAAACACAAGTGAGAGGTCATTCCTGGTGCCTAAAGGAAAAGCATTTCACTCCACCAGGCCTCCACCTTCTCCATCCCAGCCAATATCACCTCACAAACTCCATCTTCACCTTGCCTCCCAGTCCCTATCATGCAGGCCTTTATCATCTTCACCATAGTGCTTATCTAATTTGAGGACCTGAGGTAAACACAGAATCTCTGAGGATAATAGGTAAACAAGGCCATGTTGTCATAATCACTAATGCTGTAAAAATAATCAAAAAGTAATGAAGCTGTGGTCCAGATGTTTACTGAATCACACTGCCCTTGTAGATTGTGAATCATACACAGCACTGTACAAAAGATTGAGGTTACCAAAGAAAATAATGTTTAAATTATCTTTATGTTAGTGTAATTTACGTCTATAAGGGTGTGCTAACTTGTCCATTTCAAAACCTCTCCTCAAGTTACCCCAGTATTTACAGTAACCGTTTAATATACCCATGTCTTTAATGACTGGACCACAAGTATACCATGTTTGTCTAATCAATATCTAGACAAGTTATTTAATTAATGAACACAGAGAATGGCTGGGGTGCCCCTGAGGAGAGGTTTGGAAACCGAAACAGTCTAGCCAGCCAACAAGATGTGTAACAAGTATCGGCTATTTTTTTATTGCATTACTGTTCATTTGCATACAGTATGCATGTATCCCATGCTTTATCAATATTCACTTTATGCCACTTTGCTTTTGCTTTTGTTTTCACTAACCGAAAAATATCCAAAGAGGATTTTCGTTTTTACAAAAAAAAAAAAACATGGAAAAATCAACAAATGCAAAATGCTATTTTCATCAGCAAATCGATTACAGATACAGTATAGTTATGTACCGCAAAACAACATTTCATCGGCAGACCGCAGATGCGATGCTGGTCCCATAAGATAACAGAGCTGTAAAAGGTGCAAATAAATTAAACACTTGAGCAAAAAAGTAGAAAGATCCTGAGTAGGTGCTTACCACACCCATACCCGCCCCCCCGTCCTATCAATACATTTACAGCAGGGGTCTCCAACTCCGGTCCTGAAGATCTACTACCCAGTAGGTTTTCTATCCTACTTTGCTTCTGATGAGCCACACCTGTTCCTGGTATTCACCTGAGAACAGGTGTGGCTCATCAGAAGCCAGGTATGATAGAAAGGCTACTGGACAGTAGCTCTCAAGGACCGGAGTTGGAGACCCCTGATTTACAGTATCCATCACACACACACACACACACACACACACACACACACACACGTAGGGTAAACATATCCTTATGGGGACCGCTCATTCATTTCAATGGGAAAAATGCTAACATTAGCTATGACAACCTTAAGGGTGTCATGTTGGGATTAGGGTTTTGTCCATAGAAATGAATAGATGCTCCCCACAAAGATATGAATACAACCGTGTGTGTGTGTGTGTGTGAGAGAGAGTGTGTGTGTGTGAGAGAGAGAGAGCGGGTTTACCTATCCTTATGGGGACATAATGTCCCCATAACGTGATAAATATCCGTTTTTTTTTTCATTTACTGTATGGGGACCGGTTTCCTGGTCCCCATAAGGGAAAACTCTATTTTATAAAAATCGGTGACTGCTATGTAAAAACTAAAAATGCAAAAACTCTTGTATTTTGTTAGGTTACTTATGGTTATGGTTAGGGCAGGGTAGGGGTTAACCCCTACCCAGCCCTAACCTTAACCGTAAGTAACCAAACTAAATTTGGGACTTTTGGCACTTTTAGTTTTTTGATTGCAGTCACAGGTCTTTGTGGGGACCTGAAAAATGGTCCCCACAATGTAATATAAACATAATCCACACACACACAGACACACACACAATTATGAATTCTGCATTCTGTTTTCAAAATGGTAAGTCAGTGGACTAATTCCAAATGCCTTAATTACCCAGTTACGCTGAGAGGGCACACAACATAAGTTGATGTCTGATTTTATAAAGTGGGAGTTTTTAAGTGATCCGCTTCCCAAACATGAATATTTTTCTAAGGCCAGCGGCTCCAGTAGTGGTAGAAGATCAAAAGGCCAATTCCTTAACTAAGGCCCCTGAAATGTTTCCTATTTTAAAGCAACGGTAATTGCCACAGTAAAAGATTTGGCTTAAATTAACTAACTAAACAAACTGAAAAATGGTGCCATTTAAGAAATGACTGAAATAGTCTGAGATTTTAATATAAAAAATGTGAGATCTTATTCCAAGGTCTTACCAATCATCGGTGACTCTATGAAGCTCCACGTATTTGTTTGAGGTATGAAAGACTGTAGGACGCCTGCTGACCGACCTGCTTCGTTCACCCCACCGAACACGTAGATCCGGCCCCCACACACCGTAGCTGCCGCTGAATAGACCGGTTTGGGCAACGGAGAAACAGTCTCCCATTGGTTCGTGATGGTGTCATACCTGAAATAAAAATAAAGTTTTGCTTACTAATCAAAAAGTTTCGCTCCGAGGTTTGCTAAGAGTTCCACCCCCCACCCTCGATGTTTATATAAATATTCATGAATCCAGGATGCAATAGCTTTAAAACATTTCTATTTTTACCTGTGCATTCCTTTCGAATTACAAACAGGTAAAGTTGGGGGCGGGGGGGGTCACACCCTGAGTATTTCATTCATCATAGTTAAACGAGATTCACAACACACCCGAACCTAATCTCTGAGTGGATTGTTTAGAGGATTAACACAATTGCACCAAAGATGAATCTTCCTTAACGTATCCAACAGGAGATACCCGCAGGTTGGAGCTGAAGTGATTGTGCAATATGATATCTGATGAGCCTTTGATTAAGGGCTGTGTGACCCAGATTCTAAATCCAGATTCAGAAGGGCTACAGGGACTGCGAGAGTGGCTGCTTTGGCTGCCTGCTGAGTGACGGCAAATTGGACAGGGAATGAGAATGAGGCGGATTCGCTAATGTGGACTGAAAACCCCAATTTTGCCGCAACATACAAGTCCCCTTATCAGTCAAATCGAAGCAAGCCAATCAGCTGGAATAGTGACATGATAGCGCAATTAAATATATGATATTAACATTTATTATAAATTAATTGCCTGCTAAACGAATAATTACGTGATTTTGGAGTTTGTGTGGAACATCTACCTTTGAGAAAGCGTTACATATCCTGCAACATTCATTGGTTCAAACCCTCACGCAGAAGCCATTGTGTTAATTGATAAAACTTATATGATTAGCTAACTGACCTCACTTTTAATACAATAGTTTAGCTACAAAACTGTTACATTTATTGTTATTGTAATTCCATGTAGCTTAGTTGCTATGCATATATATATATATATTCCTGCTTAAACCTCCACAAAGTAATCACCATTTTGCTTGCTCATCATTATTAGCCTTCATGTGAGTTTTGAGGCCAAACACGAATATGTTCAATATGTATACCTATGCTGTGTGCATGTAAAGTGCTATATATTGTTCAGCTTACCTTCACATTTAATGTGGTTTCTATACAAAATAATATTTGAAACTCGGGGACATTTTCACAATTATAGGACTAATTTTCGGGTTGAGAACTAGATGCATCTAAAATGTAATCAGAGATGCATTCTGAATTGTTGACCCATCACAGTAACGTTGACATCAGGAAATGGCACAAACTCACTGAAAATAATGGTACCAGCCAAATGCACTTGATCATGTAGTGCATGTGAGCCAACGGCAGGCACCTGCAGGGCGGCGGTGAAAACACATTGCACGTGGCTGAAGCAAGACATGTTGATCTCCCAGCATGACTCCTGTGTACAGATGGCAATGAGGCTAGCCTTAAAAAGGCATGCTGAGACTGACAATATGAAACCGATGCTGAAACTCACGATCTCATTTACAGACATTAGACGTCTAACAGGTCGTAAATAAGTCGACCGGGTGGCTGAACATAATTTTTTTTATGGATCTTTATGGATTTCAGAGGAAAGGGGCATAGATTATACACAGGACGAGAACATCTGGAAGCAGAACTGCTGCAGGGTGCCATGGTTCTCTTCTGCGCCCAGTGAACTTTAAAAAGATATTCTAGTGGTTCTTGCGTTCCACCATTTTGGAATCTTTACTCAATGTCGGTCCAATAACCATTAACAAAATCACCAGAGGTGGAAAGTTCAGCTCCAGAAAGCAGAAATCCAGACCAAGATTTTGTCTCAACAAGCAGTTGAGTATAAAGTCACAGTCACAAAGTAGTCAACTGGTTGGTTGAAACAAAACCTTGGTCTGGATTTGTACTTTCTGGACCAGATCTTTCCACCTCTGCAAAATGTGCATGAGATGTCACTGCATATGGGTTCAAAGGGAAAATACATTTTGGAAGAATGAGAAATATTCGTTTATTATTATTATTTTTCGTTTTAGAGACCAGATAACATCACATGTATAGCTTTAGATACTGTTTGACACAGAATCATCGACAGCGGAGCGGGGAGCACTCAGCTGGTTAAATTCAAAGTATCGCTGCACTTCCCATGGGAAATGTACCATGACACAACTGGTATTTAAGACCTCAGTAACCTGCTGTGAGCTCGATGTGGCAATTCCCTGCCAGGGCTGTCAAGACTTTGCATGGTTAAGGCTGGCTGAACTGTCAACACGCAAGCCGCCTTCCCATTGCCCAAGGTTTATTAATGCTGTGTTTCAGTGACTATGATTCAGGAATATGATCTGTGGTTTTACTGATGACACTTTATACCAGATTTTCACAACAGCAACAATACAATGAATCAAATAAAGATCATTCTGACCTGCTGCAAGTTTTAATTATAATGTACAATGTTCCAGCATGCTAATGGATTTTCTAATTAGCTTCTCATAACTGTTTCCTGAGGCTGAAACGTTTTTAAATACACAAGTTAAATTATAAACAAACAGATAAGAAATATTTTGTTAAGCAGGAGTAAATTGCTTTCCGACTTGACAATTCCCTATCTGTAGCCAATTCGAAACTACAGAATTTTGGACCGCGGGACAGAGCAATCAGTTTGTGTTTGCTCTGTTATTGGACAAACAATGGGAGCGAATGTTGGCTGAAGATAATCATGGAAGCTGAGTTTCAAAAGTTCCTACAGAGCTGAATGAGCAAACACAATGGCTTCCCATTCACTGCAACTTTTTAAGGTAGTTCCGCCACATTCTATGGAAAACACATCCCCAACAGTGGCAGAATACAGGGTTCTGACCACAAGCTTTCGGTGCAGTTATTTAATTATGTATCAACATTTGCACCTTTAATGCCAAAGGTTTAGATACAATACATCCACATCACTGACCATTCTTTCATATTCATCTCATGCACTAATGTCCAGTATTATAAGAAACTTGTCGTTTGTCTTTAATCCTGTTCACTAATTTATAAGAACAATCAAGATAAAGTATTTTTTCTGCGTAACAAAAATAGGAAATTTTGAACAGTTAACGTCACTCACTTATTAAACTGATCAACATGGTAAATAAACCAGTGTTTCATTCCACTAGAGAACTCACTAGAAAGGCTCATACTGGAACTTGTCATTTATGACCAAAAGTCAAATTTTCTTAATCCTGTGGTGTCACCAAAAATAAAAGAAATTTGAAAAAAAAAGAAAAAAAAAAAAACACAAAACCTGTACTCAATATGATCAATTTACTAAAAAAACAAAAAAACAATATTTCATTCCATTAGAGGACACTAGGCCTGTATATGCACTTGATGTTTGGTCATAAATTACATGCCAGAGTGTAACCAACAACATAAAATAATCTACTTCTTGTATCTCTACAAATAATATCAACGATTGAACAAAGACTGCTGTTTTTTTAAACATAATAAGAAATCCAACACATTGTCATTACAAAAAAAATAAAATACAAACCGGTTAAAATGGTAGACAGAGAAGAGGAAGGCATTTCAGGAAAGTCTAAGATGCAATAAAGGAGAGCTAATTTTAAATCTCCAGGTGTCCTAAGGAAGAGGAACAGGAATCAGCCAGATGAAAGCCCAGCAGGCAGTCAAGTTTTTAAAGTTCCCTAATCCCATGAAGTACTGGATTAGCCCGATGTGGCTCCCGCGCACAGCGAGAGATTAATATCCGCGCCGAACGGAGAGGAACGAGATTTCTTTGCAAATGGACTGAAAGAAAAGACATCAAAGATCATTTTCATATGTGTATGGAATGCCAGGTAAAGAGAAGGAAGAGAGATTCATCCCACATTTGTCGATGATGAGAATAAGAGTTTATATAATGGAAAAATCTACAGAAAAAGAAAGTCTAAGAATAATTTAGAGAAATGGTCGATTTGATTATTGCCTTTAAGGTCAATAGAGGTGACCTGATTCTTAGGATTTCATTATTGTTATTGGAACAAAAATTGATTATGGCCAGCATGCATGCATGCAACATTTCAAAACGGTAATCAAATCTATAAAAAACAACAAAGCAAACTTTTAATCAACGTGCGACTTTCGTAATAAAGGTAACGATGATTTGCTGTGCCAGCAGTATTTGGAAATTATTTTCATTCATTGAAATTACTAAAGCCTGTCAGAAATCTAGCTTTAAGAAACTAATATACAGCTTAATATTAAAGTGGAAAATGTTGGGAGAAAGGAAAACTTCAGAGAAGATGGATAATGGACCTCAAAATAGGAGTTAGGGCAAGAGGCTAGAACTGTGAGATCTGTCAATAGGCCGAGCGAGAAAGCAACCACAGCTTGGCAAAGAAGCCTCTCGCTATGCAACATTAGGCACAGTCGACCTTAAGGAAAGCCTGACTCACCGGAACTCAAAGCAAAGAACAAAAACAAGCTACTGATATACAGTGACACCCTTATATCATCGCAGAAGTATTTCTTTAAAAAAATGCTGCAATGTCTACCGTGAAGAGTCATACCCATGCATGCATTGTTTGCATTGTCCTCCTTGTGCATTGTCCTCTTTGTATAATACAGAGAACGGTACGTGCGGCAGATCCAGCCTAGTTTCTAGCATCTCTGTAGCATTTCATCAATATGAGAGTCAGGGTTTGGGTAAATTTTCTATACTGTACTTCCTTCCCGTCTGCATCTGTGTACCACCAACTGTTCCAATTATAAATTCCTATATTACAGAACTGTTTGTTCAAAATGGCCGAAAGATTGCACAAAGCTTCGTGTGTATTACTTAATTATATATGTATGTGTCCATTTTAATGCATGCCCTAATTATTGGAGTTCTGTTTACATCTTGCTTTGTTGGTGAACGAAGTTTTACAAAAGTGTGAAACCAGATCACTATAAAAATGCATAGAAACTGAATCGTGACTGTTAAATACTCCTTCTTTATCTATCTGACATTACACTGCTTATATTTTTATTTCTGCCACATTGTCTCCCCCCCTCCCTCTCTTTCTAAGCTTTCCAAGTATTCCTTTGCGTGACAAATCTGTAACCGAGCGAAAGATGGATATCACGGAATGCACCCAGTCACTTCCTGGGAAAGACCAACAATTCCCGATTCGCTCAAAAGGATGAAGTCAGATATCTGTCCGAACCCTGAAGCCCACGTTCGTAAATCCCCAAAAATAAGCACATGTAAAACACAAAAAAAAAACCCCACCAAACATCTACAGCACTACTTCATGGTTTCAATCCACAATCAAGCTGAAAAATGTGTGCTCATGTCATCTTCTATCATATATTCTTCATACTGATCACATTCTCCTATAATTACTTTCATTGTTAAAGGCCTGTTCTCCCAGACCTTCAGAAGAGGAACAAGCATTAGAGATTAAGTCCTTCTCACTGAAGATGAGGCAAAACCGTGTTAGCGTGGTCAATAAAATGTAAGCAATAAGCAACATAGGACCATCGCCTGCACAATGAGGCGGTGCTGAGGACAAGTCTGGCGGTCACACATGACGTTTATGCTAAAGCTTGGCTCAGTCGCTCTCCTTGAGCCGCAACCCGCATTCTTGACCCTGTTACAGATTCTGAAAGGGATGGGCCGGCAGTGAAGCGGATCTCCCTGCCAGACAGCAAGGTGCCAACCGTGCCTAATGTGGTCCAACTTACACGTCGATGGACCTCTCCCCCCTCCTAGAGGTCCCAGCGGCGCCATCTGTCATGTTTGGCCCCGGGGGCAGGAAACGAGGCTCCCAACAAGGACACGATCAGAGGCGGTCAAGCTTTCAGCTCCGCTTGAAGCCTTGTCTGTTCTGGACACGGGCTCGAGGCGCCCAGGTAAGACTTACGATATCAGAGACCTTTGAAATTGAGTCAGGGAACAGCGACTGCACAGAATTCCAGGTTGGGGTTGACGGGGGGAGGGCTTAATACTTCCAGGCCATCCCCACTGTACCTTGGACAGCTTTTGCCCCAGGTGTGTGGGTAATCGCCTCCATGTCGCAAGAGTGTTGGCTTCAATTTCTGCAGTTCCCCTCCCGCTGGGAGGAGATGCCATCCAACGTTCCCGGCCCCAGTTGTCACACAGAGAAGCTCTTAGCAATGAAACATAGGGGCTCGCCTCTCTGACCTAAGCGATGGACCAGTCGCTACACTCCAGCTTCAGTCCTCTGTAGGGCCTGATAGGCTGATCTGATTCTCCTTAGTCTTTTAAAAACACCGAAACCAAAGGAGACCAACTAAGCACATGTCATCTAGGTTCTCCAAACACCACCCCTTCCCAAATGAAGTTTGAACTGTGATCGTCCCAGAGACGCTTTATACCCTTGCAAATGCAGTCAAATGTACAATATAAGCCTCGTAGAAGCCACATTCCATTCTAGTACTGCTAACATTTCTTGCATGGGGAGTAGGTACCAGGATACCAAGAGACATCTGTGCAGGCTGCTGACTCATGCAACTAAGCTCACTAATCAGCCATTATGGCTTTCATGATGTCGCACAGCCAATCATTCAATAAAGGCAACCACTCTACCAATCAGAAATAATCACATTAGCAGGCATAATGTACTGAAAAACAACACATACCGCACACAGAACAGTGCCGATAACAGCAATCATCTATCCAGATGAGGGTTTCAGTCACAGCAGAAACTCATTAATATATAATGGTTGCACTCGCTTGCACCATGTATATTGTCGTTGCACTTTGTTTTGCACTATACTCTCAGAAAAAAGGGTATCAGTCTGTACCTCTGTGTGTCACTGGGGCTTTTAAGGTATAGATATGGACTCCTCAAGGTACAAACAATGTTAATGTTCCTCCCCCAATGGTACAAAAATATTCCTCAAACTCCAATTCTGTACCATAAAAGGTACAATTAGCTACAGGTAAGGGTATGATTGGCAGACCCTTGAGGGTACAGCCCCAGTGACAAGCAAAGGTATAAAATGGTATCCTTTTTTCTGAGCGTGTATATGTATGTTTGTCTGTACTCTACATACCTTTCTGCTGTATGCACAGTGATTTCCAACTGGGATCAATAAAGTCGATCTTCTCGTTATTTGAATATAAACTCAAGGGAGCAAGAATGAGCAGACTTGACTTTACCTTTCCACATGATCCAGGTTCCCCGCCAACCCAAGTCCTCCAAGGGTGTAGAGTTTCCCATCATACACCACGCTGTTGTGTCTATATCGAGGGACTGTCATCCGGGACACCAGGTTCCAATTATCCAGCAGCGACATGTAACACCACACATCTGACAGCAGAACTCCAGATTCCATGCCACCTACACAGAGAGATGATCCATATGTTAATAAGTTGTGAAATCCACCCTCCCCTCACACGTTCTAAAAAAAATAAACAAAAATGTTGGGTCACTGTCAGGTTCAGTTTCATCACAAAGCCTTGAGAGATCAACTTCACATGAATTAAAACTGGATCATCTAATCTAATGCATCTATGGTGGGGGAAAAAAAAGAAGAGAATGAGGCAAGTTGCGAATTTTAACTAAATAATAGTTTACGTTATAATGGCCGGAATTAAATCATGGAGCTATACCTGACGTTAATTAGGACATTTGATTTTTGCTGCTTATATTAGAATGCAATTTATTCATTAATACGACTATTGAGATACATCAGATTTATGTCTCACCTTACAAGCAAATGTAAGTGTGCACACTGCAAAAAACACAGAAAAACCAGCACAAACAATACATAATAATATAGATAGATAAATAATAAAATGAATACAAAAACAGCCTTAAACAGGGAGACAGGATGGGGAAAATTAAAATCAATTTTATCCATAGAACTAAAGCGCATGGTTGAGATGCACTATAATGTGAGCTAACTGGTAGCCCAGCAGGGGGCAAAAGACCTGAAACTGACACACCCAAGGCACATACACTGGCATACCTGACAGATAGATATTATCACCCGCTGAAATCACACTGAAGAACTCGCGGTCATAGAAAGGCAAGCTGGCCAGGGGGTACCATTTGTTGTTCTGGGGGTTGAAGCACGTGACGGCGGTCAACGAGCGCTGGTTCATCCCAATGGCCTGCCGTCCGCCCACCAATACGATCACTTCTGCCACACCTGGGGAAGAGAGAGAGAGAGAGAGAGAGAGAGATAGAGAGAGATAGAGAGAGAGAGAGAGAGAGAGAGAGATCAGGGCAGTAGGAGCTAACGTGTGCTATGAGGTCGAGGTTTTAGGTGGAACATGGAACAGCCAACGATCATAACTATGGGACAGTGAAAAATGTGGCGAGTCCAGAAAAACTGTAATCTGCATGATACAATATTTGCTTTGAGTTATACGTCCTCATAATTTTTCAAAGCAGTATGAGGTGCTCTGAGCATAAAATTATTAACTTGGCTTTAAACAGCTTATTTTTATAACCTCGTGGACAAAGATATAAAATATTTTATAAAAAAAAAAACATGCAACAAATTAAAATATTACTTAATTTTGGAGTTACGGCAGTTAAGTCTCCGCCATCTGTTCTCCTGCAGCATCTAAATACAGAGTGCATGTAGTCCATAAATAAAATGTGATTCCATTTAGTTTGGTCTGTTTTTCCTTAAAAAATAAATCATCTGGAACATTGGTTGTACAATGGTACACTGAGCAGATTGCTAATAAAATCCATCTATCCATCTTCCAAACACTTATCCTAGTCAGGCTCGAGTGGAGGGGGGGTGCTGGCTGGAGCTCAGGCTGGGACACACCTTGGAAGGCAGGCCAGTCCATTGCAGGGCTCAAACACACATTCACACGCACAATTAAAATACAGCAATTTACAGACACAAATTAGCCTAGCTGCATGTTCTTTGACTGTAGAAGGAAAATGAAGTACTCAGAGGAAACGAGCAGAAACAGGGAACACCTTAACCCCTACTGAGCCCTAACGTTAACCATAAGTAAACAAAATACAAGACTTGTGACATTTTTACTTTCTTGATTGCATTCACAGATTATTATTCAGTTGAGGTTATCCAAATGGGGACCTAAAAATTTCCCCAATAGTAAGGAGGTTTCAGGTTTTACCACACTATCTATGCAAACCCACACACGCAAGCAGGTGGAAGGACCCTTTCTGCAGGATTTCCCTGAGAGTTTGGCCCGTTTATCCAGAGTATTTTTTTCTTAAAGCGCAAGAAATGCATTTGACTTGTCTAGTAAGGGGGGTATTGAGAGCATCACAAGGCTGAGTTCCTGTGCTACAGAAACTATTACTTTCGATTCTCCGGTTGATACCAAGCTCACAAAGCTCAGAGCTCGGCTGCCGTTTCCTAACATTTCCACAGCTGAGCAGGATTTACATGTTTTTTGTTAAACTTGCATTATTTGACTCAAACCAAAGGATGGCATGGCAGCCATTGAGTGCATGAGGGATGGCAAATTCATAGAATAGAATAGTGGTACTTTATTCATCCAGTGTCTTTTCACTTATCCAGTCTGGCATTCCGTGTAACACAGATATATGTTCGGGTAACAACAAATTTTGGGGTCACAGTTCAGGGTTAGGCCACTGTGGCCCAACGGCAGCATTATACTCTCTCAGCCCCAGGATCTGAACCAGCAAACGTCTGATCACAGGCACAGTGACCTGCAGTAACCCAGACAGCCGCACACTGCCCACCAGTCCACCATTTCCGAGCCTGCATCTGACTGAAGTCAGGAACCAATCAGAGGAAATTTAGAGGTATCTGTTAGCAGCTTCTACCAATCACAGGAGTCCATTGTGTGTCCATCTCTCCCCTGAACAATCCGTGGACTGCATGTGTTCTCTCACTCTCACCTCTCGTTTGCTCTGTTTCTTTGGTCAGGCAGGTAACGTAAAATAGCACCGCTGAATTTCCCCGAAATGCCCAAGAGGAATTTTCCCACGGATTTACAAGGTGTAATAAAGAAATAATTACAGCTGCGATACACAAAACAAAGCATTCCAGGAAACAATCTATTCCAAAGCCTAAAAAGGCAATAATGCCTTTCCTCCAAGGTCTAACAAATTGGGCTGTAAATGAAGTTTTACAATGAAGAAACGAAGAAACAATCTTGATTCATGGGGAAAAACTCAAGTGCTACAAGTGACACCTACATATGGGACTTAACCTGGCTTACTTTGACCCAGTAGAGACACTGCCCCTCTGCTGATTCCGAGTCTGCTCACGTAGCCTGTTCAGTGAGGGCACCCATCTATGCATCAATCTTCCATAACTAGTTATCCGGTGCAGCGTCACAGGAAAACACACGGGTCACAAGTCAGAGGACGCCCTGGACGCAACGCCAGCCAGACCCATCACTGACGGCACACATACATCATCACATAATATGGCCGATTCAGATGTACCAATTCCCTTAAGGATGTGACCCCAGGAGGAACAGAATCAGGTTTATTTGGCCAAGTATGTTCACACATACAGGGAATTTGTCTGTGGTTGCCAAAGGCAGTCATACATATACAGTACATACATGCAGTAAAGACAAGACAATGGTCACAAACTGATACTGAACATTAGCACCCATCCACACACACACACACACACACACACATATTTACATTTACAGCATTTGGCAGACGCCCTTAGCCAGAGCGACTTAGATAAGTGCTTTAAGACTCTACAATGAAATTTTCCCGATACTAGCTCAATAAAACCAAGGCTATGAATACCATCGATCTAACACACACACACACACACACACGCACACGCACACGCACACGCACACGCACACGCACACGCACACGCACACACACACACACACACACACACACACACACACACACACACACAGGTGCGGGAATCAGGCTTTCAGCCCAGGGGGGCGTAAGGCCACAATGCTATGCACTGAGCTGTGGTTTCACTCAGAAAGCAATTAATTAAAAAATAATAATAAAAAAGGACCCCCCCCCAAACAGACATCATGCAGCAGCACCCGCTTAAGTAGCCGAGCTGAGAAGACACACTGAGTTATGGTGAGCTGCTAGAGGCTGCAGACTTGACTGTAGGCCATGTTCCCCCCGCAGAGCGCAGTATCACTGGAGTGTATCCGTAACTCAAGGGCATGAACTGCCATTCACGTCCCACTTACTGCCTGACACTTCTATTATGGGATACTATTTAATTCCACCAGTGGAGTTAGAAAAAAAAAAACCCTAACACTAGTCTTACAATGTCAAACACTGGTACTAATCTCCCCTCGTACATTGTTGACAAAATACCGGCTAGAAAGAGAGACTTATCACTCCTAGATAACACCTGAGGCTGTGAGGGTTATGATGGAATCTAGTAATTAGACCCCCAGTCGTATTACACGTCTGGGGTCTCTGCTCAGGAAAAGCCCGGATCTGAGAAGCGACCTGTATGATTCCGATGAGGTGACACCTTGGAGGTCACAAGCAGAGTGAGCCACCACCTCTGAGTTTTATTCTATCAGCTACAAAAAAATACAAAACAAAACAAATAATGAATAACGGTTCGGAGAACAGCAAATCCCCTAAATCAATTCTCTCAAGAGTCACTTTCATATCTAATTCAAAGTATCTACTCTGGAAAACGGTATCAGTTAAATTACCTAGAACCTATTCAGTTCTTATTTCACTATATTTCTTGCTCTAGAGTTCGAAATCTGAATTTGTATGTGAATTAAAATCAGCATGAATTCGCTTTATGAATGATTTTTCATACTTAAGCAGACTTGCATTTGTTACAGTAATATGTATGAGCAAAAGAATTATACAGACTTGATTATTATTATTTTTATTCTTAAAGGAACAAACACGCTTGCCCCCATACAGTTAAACTTGCTTGCAGAACAGAGGACTGTCTTTCCATCAAGAAATAAAACCCTCCTGTTTTGAAGTATTCAAAGATCTCAAGTTTCAAACACTGCTTGTTGGTTCTGAAAAAAACTCCCATACCAGATCATATACAGTAGGCAACAAATTGCTTTTGTTTGTTACAGCACTCATATGTTAAAATGATTTTTATAACATACTTAAAATGTGTTGCTCTAATGATTTCAATAGTCTCAACTGATCTGCTAGAAATGTGATCAATATTTATTATTGACATTATTCACATCAGCGTAGGACAGATACATATACATCTGCGTGGTTCATGATGCAGCTTAAGTGTTGTGTAAACATGCTAAAATGTTTAAATAGGTTTAAAAATCCAGTGAAACATTTGGCAAAAATATGCATCTATATAGAGATTTTCATTGCTGGCTGTTACCATGTGGTATACATAATTCATAGATCTATAAACATTTTGTCCATCGTATTGCTCAACTTCACATTTTTTTGTCTTGCAAAAATCATCTCAGAGTTACCGTGGTGAAGAGTGTCAGCCCAACTCCTTCATGCATGACGCAGATGTGGGCCCGCATATGCATTTAAATTGTGACCAGTGAGTGACATTTTTTTGGCCCAGATTTTTTGGAAAGAGAAGTTCTTCCAAGTTTTCAATAGGTAAGCAAAATTGCACTTCACTACAGCAGGTGCTCCATCATAACCAGCTACCTCATGGGCATCTGTTAAGCTTCCTGAGAAGATATCTGGGAATGCAGCTATTTGGAGAGGACTTTAAAGCACGGCCACCATTTTAGACGTGATGTGGAGAAAGAACTAAAGTTTAAAAAAAAAAAAAAACATGCAAAAAAAAGTAGCTTTCTTTGTTTTATATTCAGGTCCTGCAAGGAAGGATATCTTTTATGTATTTTTGTCGATAAGTAGAATTTATTTCTTTTTTGGCAGTTTAACATTTGCACAGCGTAAGCTAAATTCTCATAACTTGTACCTCAAGGACCTGACTACACTGCTGCTGTAATTTACAGAATTATCAGCGCGCAAATGTTAAAACTGTGATCTTTAAGCCGTATGCTCATTTATAGCCAGCAGGAGACACAGAGGTATGAGAAGTAAGCGAGAAGACAGATTTAGCAGTAATGAATGATGTTTAGCCATGCATTTCAACTGAGGATGAGAGGTACCCCTGTGCACAGAGGACCTCCAGGTATGACAGAGCTTTGACTATTCGCCGCTGCATCATTAGGAGAGGAACGCCTGGGACAAGTCATGACGTCCTGCTAGGCTTGGCTTTCCAGCACCACAGGGGACAATAGGCAGGCAGAAAATACCCTTTGTCCTACAGTTTGTGCTTTTGAACCCACCATATCTTTTCAGGCTGACCTTGTTCCGAAATGTGTTTTTTTTTTGTTTTTTTAGATAACATCTCTTTGCTTGAGAGATTTATCCACCCAAATCAGATGGCTGCTCTGTGCTTGTCTCCAAAAAAAAAAAAAAAAAAAAAAACCTAACTATATCTCCTGCCCACATTTTAAGTTTGAGGGCAAACAACACAAAAAAATCTCCTCTAAATCTAGCTTCAGGCTACAGCACACCCCACCGCACATTTCAAACTGTAAGGTTATGACCCTGACAGTCACCAGACTGTGCTCCAGATGGTCAATGCAAAACTCAAAAAGAAAAAAAAAACAATCCACCGACGCTAAAATATCTTACTTCCCAGCAGATGCACAAACACTATTTTTTTCAATATGTAGGAAAAAAAATACAAGAAATTCTTTATTATTAATGCATTTAACTGAAAACCCTTGAGCGTCAGCCACAGAAAAACCCTTAAAGTCAAGAGATAAATTATGCATTTTACACAACATCTATTCCTCCCCCCCCCCCACTCCTTTTGCAATCAAAACATTATAGCTACTTCTAAACCTGCAATCGCAGCATTATAGCAAAACTTATATGTTGTTCCTTTGACTCACAAAACTTCCTTAGTAAACTGTCGACTGCATCAAACTTAGTTTAAAAAGAACATTTGTATAATGGATAATCTTGATTATTTGTTAGAAAGAAAGCAATATGCAGCAAGCATGTTACTACTTTATTTTAATATCGTCTTCAAGGAAACAAACATCGAGCTGCATTTGCTAATATCATGGTTAGCCATCAGCTCAGCGGGTAATTTGTAAATTGGCATCATAAAACCTAAACTGCTGGCTAACATATTCATCCTGATAGTCTCATTTCAAGGATATTACAGCTATGTGGTTATGACTATATGAAGAATTCTATTGTTAAGTCAGGAAATTTAATTTACATATTACTACCACAGGTATTAAAAGAAATTAAGATGTATTTGACTGACTTATTGAACTATGTGTGTGTATATACATATGTGTGTGTGTGTGTGTGTGGTCCAGGTGTACCTTACCTTGTGGAGACCAAATGTCCACACAATGTGATGAATACACATTTTTTTTTTCCTTGTAGGAAAACTATTTTAGAAAAATCTGTGACTGCAATTAAAAAACTAAAAATGCAAAAACTCTTGTATTTTGTTTGGTTACTTATGGTTATGGTTAGGACTGGGGAAGGTTTAAGGTTGTCATAGTTAGTATTAGCATTTTTCCCCATAGAAATGAATGAGCGGTCCCCAAAAAGATAGGATTACACAACTGCGTGTGTGTGTGTGTGTGTGTGTGTGTGTGTGTGCGCGTGTGTATATATGATATGCTGTACAATGAACTCACCCATTTAGCTATAATGATATATATGTTTTATTATTTTTTTCTGTGCTGCTGTTCAGTTCAATGTCCCTGCAAATTTCGCCTTAGGGAAAATGTTCAACGTTAAAATTTCAAATCCGAAACTTTATTTTTGCGTTTTTTTCTTTTAAAGGGCTCTGGACCTCAGGGGGATGCAGGTACTCTGACATGAGAAGCCACATCCTGCAGGTCGGGACCCGATTTTCACTGTTCGGATTAATTGGGGATGATTTGGGTCAAGGGGGTGCAATGGCGGTTAGCATCATCTGTCATCTCCTTTACTGCGAACGAGCCACCCCAATTAAAATCCTCCCAGACTGAAGCTGCATGGCTGACCCCAGAGATCGTCTGAGTAAATATTCTTTCGCATCTTGTGAATTAGTTATGTAAAGCGTTCATGCCTTGAACTTCTCATGGGGGGGGTAATAATGGCTTGTTTTTACGTTTATTTTAAAACACCTGGTTGCTGTTCATTAAGTATATTAAGCGAATCTCATTTCCAACAATTACACCAAGGTTACCTTGTTACCACAGAACAAGGGAGGGTGCGGCACTCTGTGTTGGAGTCACCACGGATGCGAAATAAAATTTCATAACACGACCACCTTTTGAAAAATGACACCTTCGTTTGTGATATCAGGCCCACGGTTGTCGCTACAGTCAACAATAAGATTTCATAGGAAGCTGTCAGGGTCACGTACGTCTCAAATTAGCATTTGCCGTCTCGGTTTACAGTTACCTGGCTACGATGCAGACTTATTACAAAACGACGGGTGGCTAAAGGAGTTTGTTTGTCGTGGCGGCAAGACCTTATTATGTATACACTGACATTTGGCTGAAGAATTCAAATCAATAAGCAGAAGATGCGGAATGGGGAAGCAAAATAAAGCCAAAGTAGCTACTGAATATGTAAAGACTGCTGCTGCTGGGTTACAGGCCGGTAGGGGAGGACCGTACCTGCGGAGAGCCGCGGCCGAGTCCTGGGCGTCTGCATCTCCTGGCGGGCGTGAGGCAGCATGTGATAGCGCTTGGCCTCGTTGACCAGGTCGCGGCACGCTTCCGAGGATTTTATCAGGTCCTCGTTATCCACGACGTTCAGGAGATAACTGGGGTGAATGAAAGGCAAACGCACCACGGCCAGCAGTTCGGAAACATGCTGAGAAAGTAAGAGGGAGAGTTGAGAGAAGGAGAGAGAGGAGGGGAGAATGTCATTGTCTGGTGTGGAGAATGGGCACACATACAATAGTGTATATTACAAATACACAGCAGCCATGTTTAACATCAATCAGACCATGCATTCGCGTGGTGCCCACGAGGTTTGCCCCCCCCCCTGTTGAAAGTGCTTGATAAACTGAAGGATTAGGGGACAAAAAACACACCCTCAGTTTGATCCTACACAGCAGTGTCACTTTTAAAACATGGTTTTGCATGGTCATAAAACTGCACTAATCTTTTAATAGCAGATTTATTATTACTGTAGTATTGTTTAAACTGTCAAATTACCAGTTATGGAACTTCAAGGGTAGTAGACTCATTTAATTACACCTTACAGGCAGTAAGTATTAATCTATATTCATCAATATTACCAGATTACTTTAAAAGAAAAAAGTCTTTTGTCTGAATGCCCACATAACATCTCAAAAAATATATTATATATGCGCACACATAATAATTTAAAAAATGCTGGCATATTAGTGAAAAACTACCTGGACTGTACATCCCACGATGCGGAATGAATATTGTGCATTACATGCATATTAACCACAAAGAAACCAGGCAGCACCACCACATCATTTATTCATTAGTTTAATAACGTGTAATGCATCTTGACTGGCTCTACTAGGTTTCTGCAGAATTAATCAAAGAAAGACCAATTATTTCAAATAGCTCAAGAACTATGAACCTGTTACTGTATTTAACAAATACCTCCTGTGGCCTTTTATTCTTAAAAGGCCTGCATTCCACACGAATGTGGGCTCTACAATGGGCTGGTAGCCCGTCCAGAGTGCCCCCTGCCTTGTGCCCTGTGCTTCCTGGGATAGAGGCCAAGCTCACCATGATCCTCTACTGCAGCGTTTCCCAACCCGGTTCTCTAGGACCCCCAGCCCGTCCATGATTTTGCTCCCTCCCAGCTCCCTGCAAAAACGTGGACTGTCTGCGGGTCCTAGAGAACCGGGTTGGGAAACGCTGCTGTATCGCATAAGCAGAAATGGAAGATGTACATCACACTTTTTTTCTACTTATTTTTCAGGTCTTCTTCTTGGAAAAACTGGTAAGAAAAAAATATTCAAAAAGGATTCCAATTCCATAATCCACATAACAGGTAATGAAATGCTTGGAAATGCAGATGATCAGAGGCTGTCCTATTTCAGGGGCCACGCATTTATATATTATATATTATATTTAAATACTTATATTAATATATATATATAAATATAATCACACACTAACAAACACACACACACACACACACACATCCATATATATATATATATATATACACACTTAGTGCAACTATGTGGTCCCTCCAAAACTGTATGAGGTCTTCAACTGATTCACTAAACAAACGTATTGGAAAGACATCATGGATTAAACTATTCCATTAAGTGTTTTTTTTTTGCCCGTCCGTTTCAGCAGCGTCAATGTGGATCAGCAGATCAAACACTGAGAAGGGGCTCAGTGTGAAATGCAATTCCTTACCGCTGAACAGGGCAAAGCTATTTCGGTCATGCTTCTGTGCTGAGAATTATTTTCTTTAAATATAAACTGCAGCTCCGCTCTGAAATTGACCTAGTGAAACACACTTTTTATGCAATTGTCTGCCAGCTGGGTCTCTCCGCCAGACAGCGAGGCCTTGAAGTTGATGTGAGTATTTACCTCTCAGGAGAGGTATAAAAAAGGAAAAAAAAGCAGCAAATATATGACTTTGACATGTTTGGAACTGTCCCCCTCCAAGCCACGATACATCATTTTATGTGGAAACAAAACTAGAGGTTTCCATCATCTGACTATACAATAAAGTCACATAAAACATATATGATCAACACAAAGTGAGGAAAAGTTCGGAACACAATTTGCTTCCAAATACATAAGAGCAGGTTTCATTTACTACTTTGTCCAAGCCTTGATTTTCCACTGGCCAAGCATATAAATATTTTATGAATCAAATATTTTGTGACCTCAGTTTCACCCTCTGGACCAATTCGACCCCTTCAGATGATTTTCTGTGGCTCATGTGTGTCTCAGAGTAAAACTCTTCAAACTTTTTTTGGTTTGTCTGAAAGGAGTGGCTGAGATCAAGCATGAAATTATTCTGAGAGGCAGCTCATCTACAGACAGGTTTCCTCTTTGTTTCTCCCACGGTACACTTCTGGATCTGACGTGTTACACAAACTATTTATTTATGACTCTTCACTTTACACTTCACTGATGGTGCAGGTAAATGGTTATATAACGTTATGACCGTCTTCAATACACATCAAAAATAATATCAGGAGGATATGGAATGAAGATTTAAATAATACATTTTATAGATTTTATTTATGCTTTTCCTAAAACTTATAACAATAATGGAAAATATTTCATATTTACTACAACAAATACAGTCATAATGAACGAAGATCCAGTGCTGGATGTACGAACCCTTTACAGTTACAACTTAAGGCTGCAACCAGTGACTGAAAATATGACAACGAATATCTCTTCTGCATCGTATTTATATTCTATAAACCGATGACAGGATTAAAGACTGCAACAAAGAATACATCTATCATGGACTCAATTTTGATTTATATGAAAGTATACGGTAATACGGAATTTTACGTTAATGTGAAATTTTTAAATCCTGGTGATTGCTGTCTCCTGGCTAATTGTCTTGTGGGGGGAAACCCCTCACTCAGTGATTTTTACCACCAAAATTTTAAGTAGCCTGAATAGCGTTGCTTTTGAAAATAGTCAAAATAACGTATTACATGTAATAATGTCTGGACGGTATGAAAAATGAGGTATCTGCCAAGCCCACGTAAACATTTCACCAGGGACTTGCTTTCCTCTCCCTCACCACAAACCACCATTTAATTACAAGTAAAAATAATATTACTTGCCACAGAAGCCATATAAACTTTACAGATAGATAGCTGGACTTTTAACCTAATTATGTTGTTTTTGTCCACCCACTTACATTGCTTTATCTTTTCTATATAGCACCAGAAATTGAGTTTTTTTTCCCCCATGCAATATCCAAAGCTACAGTCTATGCAATGACTTTTCAAGCCTAGACCACAGCTTTGAATGGCAGAAGATGAACCATTTCTATAAATGTTTTCAACATGAACCATAGAAAAGTGTGAATGCTTTACAGTAAGCCTAAATTACTTTTTGCGTGGCACAGCAATCCCAGTGAATTACTTCAGGTCAATATGCCCTAAGCATTCCTGCTAGTTTGAAAATGGTATTTGCGAGGGTTAAAAATAAATAAACAAATAAAAAAAACTATTTGTTTCATGCAAAAACTAAATGTTTGAAATAGAAGCTAAAAAAAGCATTTGTCTAGATTTACTACATACTGTGCAAATGAAACTCCAGACATTTATTTGGTTGCAACTTCCTAAAAGTCACTATTGCCTGATTGTAGTACAATCATTGAGCAATAACTGTCATTGAAATGGACAGCATGTGACAGTAACTTGTCAATCAAACAGCAGGGAGTCGTTCAGCAGATATCAATTACTAGCAATGGGGATGATATGGAGGGCTGCTGTAATGTCTACAATTACAGGGAAACTTACTTCCTCTAGAGAAATTTAGTGATGCTGAATAGGGAACAATGATTTGCTGATCAAAAGAATCCATTTAATTCTTTGAATGACAATAGATTATGTAGGATAGTAAAACTAAAATTGATAAAATATATTTAATGTGCCATGGTATGGCAAATAATTGTACTTTTTTGATAATATTATCTATATATACACACGTCTGCTTATACTGTGTTTTAATATTTTACTCTATTTAGCAGTTGCTTTTATCCAAAGCGAAGCAGTCAGTCCCTGGAGCGACAGGGGTTAAGGGCCCGGCTCAGGGGCCCGATGGTGACATCACTCTCATGACTCCAGGATTTGAGCCGGTGACCTTCCGATCACAGGTATGGCGTGCTAAACCACTAAGGCACACAGTGTTTGCAGGGACCAGACACACAATTTATTTAAAAAGACAAAAAAAAAAACACCCTTTAGTAGCATTACTAGAGCCCATACAAAGTAGAGGACAAGCTGTTATGGAGATGGACCATTGGTTTAACACGGAATTTTTTTGTATGAATGAGCTCAGTGTAAGTAAAATGTTTTTGTTAATGTAAATATAATGTTATATGGTTTCCACTTTGTCTGACTTGGATGGATTCAGACATTCAAACCAGTTTGCATGAATTATGTGATCAGTGCCACATTCTTCAGTTAATTCTCTTATACATATTTCCAAACCATGTTTTTATGGTCAGGCACAGCAGGTGTTACACAAGGTAAGATCGGTAACTGGCAGACACTGAGAAAGTTTCCCAAAGCACACACTGAAACCATTATACATGTAAAGTGGAATTAGCCACAGAAGAAATGCACAACTATGCTACACAAAGAGGAGAAAAACAAACAATTGGGACACACTGGCACAAACAAAGGTTTGAATGTCATATATATATATATAAATATATATATATATATATATATATAAATATATATATATAAATATATATATATATATATATATATATA